TTTACCAACATGGCTATTCTTTACAAACAGTGCTATGACTTGAGTAGGGAAGAACAAATGCTAATATAAGATTCTATTCAACACTTTATATTAAAAACTGGCAGATTTTCAGTTAAATGATTGTTTAAAATAAACTGCAAATAGATTTATTATATGTGCACATCTAGCTTGGCATGTACAATTTATTTGTTACATCTAACCTTCATTTATGTATTCATTGCAATATGTCCTATGTGTAATGGAGCGGTATTAACATAAGCGCTTCGCTTGTTTACCAATCCATTTTCACACTTTTGTGAAAATAAATATATTTAAACCAAATAATAAACTGTGTGGAGAATTTAAAAAATAACAAAGCTGCTGGTCTTGATAATATAATTAACGAATACATTTCAAGCACAATTGATGTCTTCATATATATTTATATCAAACTTTTTAACATGGTTCTTGATACTGGTACATTTCCAGAATAATGGTTAGTAGGTGTTATCAAACCCATTTTTAAGGGTAAAGGTGACCACAAAAAAAACCCGAAAAATACAGACCTATCACCCTGCTAAGCTGCTTTGGTAAGCATTTCACAGCAGTTTTAAATAACCGTTTACAAACATTCATCGAACGAACTCCATATTGTCGGAAGCGCAGGCAGGTTTCAGAAAGGGTTATTCAACCAGTGATCACATCTTTGCTCTATATAACCTCATGGAATTATTAAAAGCTAGGAAAAAGAAATTATTTTGTGCATTTGTAGATTTTCAGAAAGCATTTGACACAGTCTGGCGATCAGGGCCCACTTGCACAAAGCGATCTTAGCGTTAAGACTATTGTAAGCCTATGCTAAAGTATGGGAGTTACGATCATCTTAGCGCTAAGATCGCTTTGTGCAAGTGGGCCCTGGACTTTGGCAAAAACTATTACAAAATAACATATCTGGAAACTGTTTTAACATTATTTATAATATGTACCAGAATATCAAATCATGTGTTTCCTGTAATGGTAATTTAGCAGGTTTCTTTTCATGTAAATCTGGAGTAAGACAAGGAGAAAACCCGTCGCCTGTCTTGTTTGCAATATTTTTAAATGACCTCGAGGCATCTCTTGCACAGGATTTATGTAAAGGTGTCCAATTGAAACCAGATGAATTCTATGATCGAATAGAACATATTTTCACACTATTTGTATTACTGTACGCAGATGATGCAGTGCTATTGGCCACAAAAGCTTATGATCTAAAACATATGTTAGACTCATTTCATAATTATTGTATACACTGGAGACTAAAGGTTAATGCTACCAAAACTAAAATGTTAATATTTGGCGGATCAAAAACTGATTATCAACATAATTTCAATATTGGTCATGATGTTTTGGATAAAGTTGATTCCTATAACTACCTTGGTGTTATCTTTCAAAAAAAATTCGAAATTCACTTTAACAAAGAAAAAGCCAATAGTACAAGCAACGAAAGCTATGTTCTATGCTTTATGCCAAGGACGGAAGATACATTTATCACTTAAATGTCAACTGCGGTTTTTTGGCAGTATGGTTGTACCAGTTCTTCTCTACGGATGCGAAGTATGGGGATTTGAAAACACCTCAGCTCTAGAAAGTTTACATTTGCGTTTCCTAAAATATCTTTTATCATTAAGAAAATGTACTCCAAATTTCATGGTACATGGGGAACTTGAAAGACTCCATCTATCAAACATCGTCAAAATGAGAATGATAAGTTTTGGGGCAAATTACTTTCCGGGAAACATCTAAATTATCCGTTCTTATTTAATGATGACCTATTTGGAAAATGTAAACATAAATAGATTACATATATCAAACGAACTTTTGATGAACTTGGACTTAGCTACATTTGGTTTTCACAAAGTTTAAAAAATCCCTCATACCTAAAACATCTAGTCCATGAAAAAATTAATGCATTAACCTACAGTGTTGGACCAGTGCAAGGGATAAGTCTTCAAAAGGCACAATGTATAGTATCATCAAAAATGATTGCCTAAATTTTGAATATTAATTAAATGTACTGCCGGAAAACGCGTGTTTAGAACTTGTAATCATAACCTACCTATTGAAACTGGGAGATGGAGAAAATATCTTTATGGAAAGGAAATGCCAACTTTGCAAATTATCTGACAAAGGTGATGAATTTCATTATTTGTTTATTTGTCCATCTTTAGGAAACGAAAGAAAACATTTTTTACACAGATTCTACTACATTAAACCCAATATGCATAAAATGAATTTAATTTTCAATAATTCACGACCAGGAACATAGTGAAAACTGTCCAAATTCTGCAAAATCATCCTGTCATTGTTTAAACCTATCAAGTAACTCTCCCTCTTTTTGAATTGCACATATATTGCTACCATAGTAAATCTGTATAAATATGCATATATGCTTGGCCAAGATGTTTTTGTATATATTCTATATTTATATGTATATGTATTATGTTGTTGAATAATGTTGTACCTCTGATGCCGCTGATAGCGGCCAGAGCGTAAATAAAGTTCAGTTCAGTTCAGGCAGCATTCAGACGAATGCAGTCAGAGAACATCCTCGGACTGGCAGGCCACACGTAACCAAGAATCGACAAGACAACTGGATTCGAACAACATACCTACGAAATCGATTCCAGCCAGCAACAGTGACTGCAAGAAGCATCCCTGGCCTTCGACGAATATCTTCACAAACCGTACGTCGTCGCCTCATATGTGCATGTATTGTCGCCAGAAGACCCGCCAGACGTCCCATTTCGACAGGAAACCACAGTCAAGCACGTCTACAGTGGTGCAGACAGCGTCTACGCTGGACGTCCATGCAGTGGGGACAAGTTCTATTCACTGACGAGTCTCGTTTTCACCTCAGCCACAGTGGTGGACGGATTCGAGTGAACCGACGTCGAGGTGAACGTTACGTCAATCATTGTCATGGAAGAAGATCGTTTCGGGGGCGGCAGCGTTATGGTATGGGTTGGGATTACAGCAAGATAGAGGACTCGTTTGATAGTGGTAGAGGGAAATCCCAATGGACAGCACTACCGCGACGAGATCATCGGCACTGTTGTTCTACCGTTTTTGCGTCGTCATGGCCCAGGCATTACCTTTCAACATGACAACGCCAGACCTCATATTGCTAGACTTGTTCAGGATTCTCTTCAACAAAACAACGTGAATGTCATACCCTGGCCGGCTCGATCCCCTAATCTCTCACCAATCGAGCACATGTGGGATGAGATGGATCGGCGCCTATCGACGTCAACCACGTGTTCCAGACACTCCAGGAACTTCGAAACATGTTCCAGCAGATATGGACAGATATCCCACAGGACTTTGTGCGATGCCTGGTCCATTCCATGAGACGAAGACGTGTTGCTTGCATCGCAACAAGAGGTGGTCACATACGTTATTGATTTGTAAATTGACATTTTGGCATGTTCATGTTTTTATGAAATCACGCATTTTCTGAAGTCAGTATGGCAAATTAAACCATTTGAACACATACAGGAGTATTTTTTCTGTTGCAAACCGAAACTGTTTCAGATTTGGTAAAAAACATAACTTTGCATTAAATCTTATTCAATGTCACAGGAACTTTTGTTGTTCAGTATATAACATTTGTTACATCTGACCACTTTCTAGAAATGGCATTGTTTGTTCATAGCTTCCGGCCATAAGGAACCCTGCCAATTTACACTTATAGGGGTACACAAAGTACGTGATCTAGACTACTAGTTGTCGGACATTCATTTTGTGGAAGCCTCGGTGGCGGAGTGGGTTAGATCGCTGACTTTGTGTGCTGGTGATTAGGTGCCTCACTCTTGCAGTGTGGGTTCGAATCCCGGATGGGACTCAACCCAAAAAGAGAACTAGAATCTTTAATTTACCAAGAAGTTGTTATCGTAAATATAGCATTTATTATATTTGACCACTTTCTAAAATGGCATTGTGTGTTCATAGCTTTCGGCCATGGAAACCCCGCCAATTTAGACTTGTCAGAGGGGTACACAAAGTACGTGATCTGGACTACCAGTTGTCGGACTTTCATTTTGTGGAAGCCTCGGTGGCTGAGTGGGTTAGATCGCTGACCTTGTGTGCTGGCGATTAGGTGCATCACTCTTGCAGTGTGGGTTTGAATTCCGGATGGGACTCAGTCAAAGAAGTACAAGAATTTGTACTGTAAGTGTTATCCCAATTATAGCATTGTTATAATAAAACCATGTCAAATAACTTACAAAATTGAATTGTCTTCCATATTATTCATCACACCAAGCTTATTAAAATGTTTCAATGCGTTAAACAAATGTTGTGTACACATACAGTTTACGATCTACATATTCAAATTTGAATTTCCACATCACATTCTATAAACATTTAATACCATCTCCATTCGTTGATGACTGTGTTCTGGAGCTATGTTAACACAAAACACCACCACGTATTTTTCAGCAATAAATGGTTTATTAGTAATTAGGCAAACACAATCACTCCATTTAGGATGAATTCTACTAAAGTGTTCAGCAATTCTTTTACAAGCAATAGTGCCACTCAAATCACTATGACTTATAACATATTAATCCAGGAAAGAAATCCCGGAAATCAGTGGAATTCTTGGCCCATCCAGGATTCTAAATTAAGTACCCATGGTAGACAAATTGGGAAAAAATAATTATTTTGTTCATATTTTCTTAATGTTTTTGATTTGTTGTTTAACGTTGCACTCAGGAATATTCCAGCTATATGATGTCGGTCTGTAAGTAATTTAGTCTTGACCAGACAATCCAGTGATTGACATCATGATCATCGATCTGCGCAATCGGATACGATGACATGCATCAACCAAGTCAGCAAGCCTGACAACCGGATCCCGTTTGACGCTGCTTACGACAAACATGGGTTGCTGAAGACCTATTCTCTACTCAGATATTCACTGGTATCTCTTAACGATGATTATATTCAGAGGTATTATAACATTGTATTTTTAGATTGCATTCAATACAGTATTAAATTAAGAATTTGAGATCTTTTACGACACTTCTTTCACTTTCCAAGGTACATTTCGTTAACTTTAATGTCACTGGAGTCAACGCTCAGTAGATTCAGTCACTCTCTATCTCCAGCTCTCTACTTATAAAAGTTCTTAACTTATCTTGGCACTGAGATCGACTTTCCCCTTTTCTCCTTGAGTACTTGTTTATCCACAGCGTCTTGAATATCCGATATGTATTTTGCTTGTTCATCAACACAAAGTATCAGGATTTCATTTTCTGATTTCACTTTGGATGTTGTATTTTTATTTCTTTAGGTCAATCGGTCATCAATCAACATTCACCAATAGTTAAGTCAATTATCCTTGCAACACTGTTATATTCTTATTTAGTTCTGCTATTTGCTTTCAAAGGTGTTCTGTTAACATCTGTTTCTGTACCCACTGCATCTTCTGGTTGATCTACCTGTATTTCTCCAGTATATGTCAACTTACACTGCCTTGGGGGTCTGTCTTGGCCCAGCCTAGGTGGAGCTGGGTTGCTCTCAAAGTCACCTGCCAGGATGAGAGTTTTACACTAAAAGTAGGTGACTTGTTGAGACATATAACTATTGTACAATATGGCACTTTACTTTCAGGAGTTGGGCAAAACGGGTATACTAACTAAACACCCCTATCTTTACCTTAACTGTTGTGGCAGCAGCTACTTGAAGTTGATGTGACCTGTTAAAAAAATTTAGTGTTGCATGGTATGTATCTTAATATATTCACTGACTAAGCAAGGCTGACTAATAAACAAAATTGGAACTGATAATTATGTTAAACCACCACCGTCTTTAATTGTTTGCAGTTGTGAGTGAGTGAGTGGGTGAGTGAGTATTGTTTTATGCCGCTTTTAGCAATATTCCAGCAATATCACGGCGGGCTTCACACATTGTACCCATGTGGGAAATCGAACCTGGGCCTTCGGTGTGACGAGCAACCACTAGGCTACCCCCACCACCCCATTTGCAGTTATGATAACAACTAATTTATTGATTGATTTATTGATTGAGTGAATGAAACCTTCCTTTACGTATCGGTATTCTCTAAATTATCTGTGTACAGGAACGGATGAGAAACAGCTCATATTTCATCCACAAATACACTCCGTGTGTGCACAAAACATATCTTTATATAGACTGGTCATTTCAGTTAGAATGAGAATGATTGCATATTAGCAATATTCTCACAACTGAATCATAAATAATCATTATGTTTGATGAATTTTACATATCATCCTTCTTGATCATATTTGACTTCCTCTTCACCTGGACGTGAACGGATATTTTTCTTATTTCCTTTCTTCCTCTTGAATGAAACTTTATCATCCTTGATTTTTTCACTACATTCAGCAACCTCATCTTCATTTTCAATCTCCTCCACAACAGGCAGCACCACCACCTCCTTCTGTCTGCTTGTGCTACCCTGTGTCTCAATCCTCTGCCCCTTCCTGTCCTGGCGCTTCACAAATTTTATTGCCATCCTGGAGCAGGCAGTCTCTTCCAGGTTGGCAGGTGAAGCTTCTTCAGAATGTGCTTCAAGTTCTCTCATTTTTTTCCTCTCATCTAAAAACTTGAATGCTGCTTGTGTGTTGGAGGAATCAGACATATCAGTGTTGGACACATCATCCAAAGAGTAGGGAGTCCATCGCTCTGGGTGAACTTTGTAATCTGGAGTACCACGTCTGTGACCACTGTGACATGATAATTTTTTGGGAGGACATCTAAAATCTCTGTTTTGATGCTGGGAATGCCGAGGTCTGCCATAACCTCTGATTTGTGAGTGGTTGTATGGTTTGTTAATGCGTACATCACACTTCTCTCCACAATGTTTATATTGAGCAGTTTTCTCTATTGTCCTTGTATCTTCTTCATTGGGATCTTTCTTCAGAAGATTCTCATAAGATGTCTGATGAGCCTTCTGATGTGCCTCATGTTTCACCTCCAGAACAGACAGATAGCCAAATACATCCTTTGTCTTGTCTGCAAATTTGTCAGAGCAACTGTTCAGCTTGAATTCAGGAGCCTGATCTTGATTTGCCATTCCTGGAATATAATGAAAGATGTTAAGTACATGAAACTCTGGAAAAATAGTTATTGTTTCTGCATGTATGTAAAACTGTGGTGAGAGTAGCCATGTTTTTATGGGGGTAGGGAGGCACCAAAATTGGGCTTTGTAAAATGTAGCATGAATTCGAACACTAGTTATTATTATTAATAATTCAAAGTACACTACGTCTATTACGTCAATGGGGAAAATTCTGTATTTGGGCTTTTGTCACACTTCAGATTTTCAACAGATCTTCACTATCAATTATCCAAAATTAGTTGGGCAAGTAACAGTATCTTGCTACCCTAAAGCGTATGTATGAGGTGGGAAAGCCTCACGTCTAGCCAAAATCTAGATTCAGAAATTGAAGAGTTGTATGGAATTTAATAGAGGTAGTATTCTTTGAATTATTATCAATGACAACTATTGTTTGATCATTCTTGGGAATACTCTACCTCTATAACCTGACTGCCAGAATATACCCGAGGGACTGGTGGGTACTGACATCAAGGAATACCCTTGAAGTTTAACAGTCAACTGAAATATTGGGAGAAGGAAACGTTAAACCCCGATGAACAAAATTATTCCCATCCTGGCTGTTTCCCTCACAAATTCAACTATTTTGGGGTACCTGAAGGTTCCTAAAACAACACAAATGCTGTTGTTTAAACCCACATTTTAGGTATAACAATATAACGAACCACATTGAAAGGCCTGAAAACAAATAATGTCAAGGACATGAACAAATATGAAGTTAAGTTCCAAAGAACTACTGTCATATTTGCATCCAGAACCTCTTTGTGATGTCATTCATTTTACCTTTACTATCTATGACATCATTTCCGGTTCTGATGACGTCACATCCCGTTCTGACATCATTCCCTTGACTTCTGAATGTGATATCAGCTCTTAACCTATGATCTACCCTACACCTAGTTGTCAGTATGGTGCAAAAGGTTAACCCCCCCACAAGGAATGGAAAGCAACTGCTACTGATCGATTGTACTGCCACCAATGGTCCAAGACTAGTCCCTGTAAGTCTGATTGAATGTCTTGTAAGTAAAAACTAGTGAATGTGTTTTGGTCTGCTTGTTCCACTGATACTGAGTTTCAGGACACTGGTAGACAGTGCTCTTATCTCTTGAGCTAGACTGATCCATACTCTGCATGCTGAAATCAGCCTGAAATTGTAGACATAGGTGGTACTAACCTTCCCAGAGTTTGGATTGATTCTTGGCTACAAACCCTGGTAGAGGTTTAACTATTAAGGTGCTCCAGCCTTCTGGATGAGTACGACCTGAGAAGCCAAGAACATGGAGTTCTAAGACTCTGGCTGCAGTTGCCATAGCAAGTAGCATGTGCCAAAAGTGTCATAAGGTACCCCCAAAAGAGCAGATAAAACAACCGATAGGTTCCATTTTGGAAATGTTTATGGAGTCTCCAAAATAAAAGATCTCATAAGTCAGTTCAAGACAAAATGATTCCCTATAGAAAGTCCATCGTGTTGAAGCACAGATAGATGAGTAGAAGAGTAGATGTGTGTATTCCTCTATGATACCGTGACAGAACTTACGGAGATGAATTAAAACGTCTGCCACCATAGGTACAGTTACAGTTACAGTTCCTGTTCCTAATCCATGTCTTCTCCATTGACAGAACTTTTGTCATAAATGGCTGAAGAAGATGCTCTCCAAGATCTGGCCACAGATATGGAGAAACCGGAAGCTTGCATCTTATCCGCAAGAACTTCCAGACGTGAATATGAAAACTCTAGACTGCTGTGCATGACATTTGATCTGGGTTGATGAACGTTCCGGACAGATCAGGACGTTCCATTAACTTAAGTGGTTTGTCTAGAATTAACAGGGACCGCCTGGGATACTATGATCGAGCTGGCAATACCTGTGCCATGATGATAATCATCAGTCAGTATCCTTTTTATCTTCCTTATGACTTGGAAGATGTCTACTTGGAGAGATTGAGGATCTGGAACTGTACCGGTGTACCCCAGGAGCTTGTTGTTGAGACATGTGGCAAACAAATCCAAATGTGTGGAATTCCATCAGTCCGACTTCTTAATCTGGTAGAAGGTTTGAGCTGAGGTTCTCTCGTAATCATATACGAATACAAGCTTAAAAAAGTGACTATTCCTTCTTAATACTCACCATAATGACCTTGTTGCTTCTTAAGCATATCTTGTAGCATGTTCAAAGAGAACTTTGTCATAGCATCTGGTTGGGATTACAGAGACAAGTGATCTTCCTGTCCTCCTTGTTGGGCAACCTCAGACTTTGAGGTGCATGATGTGGATCCCTACTCTCTCTTACATCTATGTAAACAACTATTTACTAAGGTAACAACATATATAATCTTCATTTGCTGTTTATCAGGATGATAAACACTAATCCTTGTTAAACTGAAGCTGTAATTAAGTGTGACTACTACCAAAATGTTTTGTGCTATGTCAACTCAGAATTCTTGTTGTTCTTGCCACTTGCACTCACAGGAAAGAAATGAAATTTTCTACCTTATGAGCCTAAGGAACGGGTTGCAAAATACTATTACTTGCACAACTAATTATGGACAGTTGGCAGTGATAAGGACTTCTGTTGAAAACCTGAAGATGATTTTTATAGCAAGCTTAAAGATGACAGCCAAAATACAGGATTTATAGCAATGATGTAATAGGTGAGGTGAGGTGAAATTGGGTTTAACGTTGCGTCCTAGATTATTGCACTTGTATAGCGATGTGCATGCATGTGTGTGTGTGTGTGTGGCTGCGTGTACTAGTCCGAACTGATGCCGATTTATAGTGCTAGCTCACTGAGATACCATGCCGCAGTTTAACATGAATACCCCTCTCAGACACAGTATACTGACTCCGAGCCAACCAGTCCTTGTTTTAGCCCCTTTATGCCGAGTGCCAGACAGGGTAACAACAAGTACCATCTTTTAATGTCTTTTGGTATGACGCGCCCGTGGATTGAATCCGGGCGGACGCTCTACCACAAGACCACGGAGGCGGCAATGATGTCATAGAGGTAGAGTATTTACAAGAATTAATCGGCAACATTTCTGTGTATTAAGCAGACACAACTTATCCTAACTGAAATCTACAAGACCTTCTTCGAACAGCAAGCCCTCGCCACATCATCTTTCCAACACATTTGCTGGTACAGAAAAGTCGACGACACCTTTGCCATCCTAAAATACTTCTCCTTCGAAAAATGCATTCAACTTACATTTGCTGAAGCTTTTGTTTCTTATTTAACATACTATGATTTAGCTTGTTAAAACTTAATTCTTCAAAAACAATATCTGGAACATCATGTGCATAACATGATGTACAACGAGGTAAACATGAAATAACATGCCACAAAACAAACAAAATTAATATTTGACAGGGCTAAATTTGTAGACCTTAGATAAGCAAATAATTCAATAAATTTGTCTTGAGTATTAAGACATTTAGATTGCAGATATTTTTCTCTTCAGTTGTCAAGGTCAAGGTCAATCAACACATAATGTACATAGGGAATCAAATGTTCTACAACTGATGTGTTTTGATGTGGAGTTTTGCTTTGTAACATGAAAGGTAATATGAGAAGTTTAATCCGTTTGTTGAAATCACATTCTTGAAACATTAATTTATCATTATTTGTTTTAAAATATTGTTCACATACTGTAAATCTTGAAATTAACGTCATTTATAGAATAGGAATTACACAATAGGCATCCAGTGAGTTATCACTGCTGGGGTTAAGAGTTCTACACACTCATATCAAACTAGACATCATTGACCACTGCAATCAGTGAAGAGTTGATGGGGGGAATCACATTGAATTTGAATTTTTGGCTAGGGGTCAGCAGTCGTATTAATTTGGAGACGCATTAATTTCAAGATTTACTGTATCAAACTGAATATTAGACAGTAAAACTATTTATAAATGAAGCATTGCATCATATGGAAATAAGATCACTTTAAAACTTACCAGTCCTCATGTATATTGCCAATATGTTTTGCATATCGATTTTGTGTATCGTGATACGTATCGTATCGGAAAAGGCGCTCCAATACCCAGGCCTTGGCCAGTGTAGGTGTCATATGAAGTTGATTCTCGTGTAAATCTAGTGCATGTATTTCACTGACACAAGCTGCAGTGCCTTAGGCAAGTAGAAAAACAGTGATGTACTTCAAGGATGTGGACATCAAGGGCATTCGTGACCAACTCGTGTTATTCCGAGACAAGCCGAATAGCGACTCGTGCCCCTCTCATGGCCATTTTTGCGACCGGTGTAAGGTGCCAAAATCTACCTCCTTTCATAGTATACCCGGGTAGATTTTGGGGACTTCCCAGAATCTACCCCCCTTTCCCAGAATCTACCTCCAGGGGGTATAATCTGCGAGTTCCCAGAATGTACCCCGGAGTGTAATCTGGGAGCTCCTCCCAGAATCTACCCTGGGTTATAACTATAATCTAGGAGCTACAAGAATCTACTGCAGCCCTGTTAGATTTAAACATATTTTTTTCATGAATGTACATGAAGTTTTCTTTTGGGGGATGCATCTAACTCAGTCTTGATCTCTCCTGGTCAACTGCTGTAAAAACATTGTCATCTGATTAAGTTTACATAAATGTTGTTTTATACATGCAAAGAAGAAATAAATATTGTTTAAACTAATAAAAAAATATCTTACAAATCACATTGACTTTAACTCATGGTAGTCATCATCATTTTGTAAATTCGAAAGTTGGTGGTGAGAATTGTGTGAGGAAATGTCTTACACTTATGTCATTGAATAAGCTTTAATATGCTTTGTGAATAGACCTACCTACTTTTGATTGCATATAAAATCATTTTGAAACCAATTATAAGTATGCACTTGTGTCTGTAAGTACCTTTGTTTGGGGAGGCATGTATCACAGTATCAAGAATATATTCTGACTATAGAAGACATAACATCATTAAAACCATCTAATTATTTGTCCATTTA